GTTAATGCATAGCCGTACATAACAGAAACAAATATGAAACATGCAGACTACAGAAAGTATGAAGATTTAGCCATCTGGGGAGCTGTTTGGCAAACTGGCTCCAATGCGTATTATTTATTTCTGTATTTACTTATTTCATTCCTTCTGTGGAATTCACAGAATATTGAAGTCTTGAAGGTGGTTCGTTAGCTAGAAGGGGAACCGTGTAGAAAACGTTGAGAAAACGCAGTGGCGCTTGTGAGACTGACGACAGATGAACGTAATGTTTTCTAAACCGAATGGAAAATATTTTAAACCCAAAGATAAATACTAATGGCATCATGTCTTTAGAAATTGTACGGCTCCACGGAGATTCTTAATTTTGTTGTAAACGGAAAAATAATGGATGAGCCATGCACATAATCTTAGGAGAGTTACTCAGATCGAAGTCATAAATTTTGCAAGATTATTGTGCGTGAATTTGCTCTTTGCTACCTGTGCCGAGAAACTGCAGGTTGTCTCGATACAATATTACCAAGAGCTCTTGAATCACTATGGACTTGAGAAGCTGTGTGGACGTACGTTGGAACCCAAATGTGCTTACAAATATCCCAGTAATATTTAAATCACTCAAAGTTCTCCAGTGGGGCTTTGGCTTTTTGACTATGTTCGATGTCAATCGAAAAAAAGCGAAATACTTTCCCATTATCGGAAACAAAGAGGCTGATTAACAATTGTTGAATTTATGTTGCTGTAAGTCCGAAGTCACTCAAAATGTCCGTAAAGCACGATTGTGTCAATATGTTTTTTGTTGTCTATTTTTGACCAACTAGCCTGGGAAGTTTTACGACAAAACACCGCAAATAAGAAAAATTGGTGCGTGTCGATGTTGCATGCGAGATAAAAATCCAATCAGAGGTCGTCCAAATAACGTAACTGAGTCCAGGCTTTCAGACTCTATAGTTGATGGAATCTGAAATTGCCATAATGCTATATCATATGTGTACAACTTGCCTTTTCTTATTCAATTGTAGAAACAATTTGAGCACCCAAATAATGCCTGTAGGTGAATGGAAGTTTAGCATATTTTTCAGTAACAAATTAATTAAATGATTCAGGCGTTGCGTTCAGGGGTATAAATCCGGAGCATTTTACCAGCGCTGAGTAAGTGAAGGTAACTTGTTTCTTTTATATGCCTGACCTCCCTATTTCTTAGTTCCTTACAAAAGATTTTGGGGTGTGGTTTAGGTGTGCTTAAACGCTGGATAAGAGAGGGTAGAGACATTTAAATGGGAATATACTGTAGCCTTACTATGTGTCCTAAAAGACAGTCCATACTGTTGAATTAGGTTGAAGTGTAGTTTTCACTTTCCTTGATTTAATAAAACACCCGACGGACGAGGGAAAAGTCGCCGGAATCATCTGTAATGCACACAGACTAGTCTGGTACTGAAGTCTGCAATTCCCATAGCACCATGTTAGAGGCTTGGGCAAAAAACAGATTAGTCGAAAAGTTTCTGTTGTTTGATTTCGAGTGTTCTCCCCCAAAGGGTCCAAGTTTTCCATGATCGCCCCCCCCCCTTTTAGCAAAATTTGTGATAGGAGGCAAGAGACTTTATATAGTCTGGGACTTCAGCTCTCGACTTTTTTCACTATGTGTCTTTATTTTAACATTACGCAACAACCTTTAATTATTCATGCAGATGGTGTTTAGACCCATTCTGCTAGAACAAAATACAACGAAATGACGATAGCGAAGGGGACTCTGAATAAACCAAGAAAGAGGAAATCTTAAATAATCTAAAACTTAGGTGAGCTGTTACACATCAAAAGCCAAAAAATTTCAACTTTGATATCCAGATACCTATGAAAACTCCAAAAACAGGTTTCATCCATCAGGCTTAAATACGACGATGAGCCGATGAAAGATGGAAAAGTTTTGTCCAACGTAGACCGCAGCGATTGGTCGTAGAAACCAATAGACTTATCCAGAGAGCGGAAGTCAGCCCACTTGCATAGCACACTTTAATTATATTGACTGATGGAACACATGACAGGTCGCACTAGTCCTAAATGTTTGATGTTGTTTGATGCAAATACCAGTGAACAAACGGATAAAATCTGATGTTAGAAGCCAGGAATACGTGAGAGAAACTGACATGGACAAAATGTTGATGGGAAACGTTCTGAATTTTCAAACAGCATATTTTAAATTACCTAGTGGTTGCTGCACACAACATTAAATATTTTGGATCCAATGCACGCTTTGATAGGTAGCATCAGTGAATGTAATTAACGTTAGCGTTTTTAGCTCAATGTTACACAAACCGTCAGATCAAAGCAAGTCCCATTCTCTTTAGTATTATTGATTTTAGTAGGAATTTGAACAAGTACAGCGAAACTCAACATCCTCCTCTGAGAACCGGTGCGAATAAACCTTCGACATACAAATACCTGGTTTTTTCGGATCAGAATATTGAAGGGAACATTGCCGCCTAGAATACCCCGGTATAAGCTCCGGAGAGCTACTAGTCTTAAAAGATCCGGTAGCTAAATATTTTGTGCTCTACGAGTGACGCTCTAAACTGAGGCCTATTTACGGTAACAGACTATTTTTCTGATGCCGATAATCACAGAACTGGTTACAGAGATGCTAAGTAGTAAAGTATAACTTTACCTCACCAGGACTGTGCACATGAACTAAACTAAATGATAAAAAGCACTACTAGGTGTTGACTATTGAATGGTTACGAACCGGCTGGTTTCATCCCTTAGTGGAAAGCATTATATTTGCTTCTATGCAGTTTTCAAAGCTAAGTATAATATCAATGCTTAAATATTATTGTACAAAACAGAATCACTTTTAAAAATACTCCGAAGTGGACCTACCAGTGGCATAATTGCGATTTCAGTGTTGTTAGGATGATTCAGATGACAGTTGATAAACGGCTCCAGGATGACACTGATGATTTATCTGGGTCTCGTTTTTAGTCAAACCGCCTTACGTAGACTTTCTTCTCCTAGTGCTACTTGTTCGCGTCAACCAAACTAAACCACAGAGAGAATCTTAACTGTCATAGTTTGCGTGAAGCATTCCTAATATTTTTAAACATGCAGAGGCAAGATCCCATGGTAAGCAAAATATGTATCTACTCGTGACATTAGTAAAGTGATGGTTTTCTGGGACTTGATAATAAAGTGTATTCACCATTTGATGTCTACGCACATTCCCGGGGAAAACGTATTTCTGCTGGTATTTTTATTAAACCTAACCAACAAATAAACTAAAGTATTTTTAATTGTCTGGTGTGCGCACAGTTTTACTCTTCACGTTGACCTAAACTTGAATTATGTAACTACTCTTAAATGAAGGGCTTCTTCGAATTGAATAGTTTTGTCAAAGGCCTCGGTTTATCGACTTTAGTTGGTAATGAACCACCCTCTATCGTCTTTCATTTAGACAATGTTAACAAGGAACAAACTGTTCCTGGCGACATACTCACTAGCAAAATTCTCAATCAAGTTTCATTACCATTGTGAATCATGCGCTTTCGTTTTATAGAAAAAAATGAAAGTAGGTAGCCAGTTTTAGCCTAGCTTTTCAGTTTCTGGACGTTTCAACCATAACCACCTGATCCCAGGATGAAGCATTTTCGGCGACCAGTTCACATGGTGATGAACATGTTTACGAGCATGCTTACTTCAAGCTACACTTAGATGGTTATTATTTATGGCTGAGATATTATGCATGAAAAATTAATCCCGAAAGGTAAACTAGCTTCTATACGTCTTACAGTTGCTTGCTTCCGAATAAGTCTGTAAATTTCGAAAACTATGTATTTTGTCTAAATGCAAGTTAATTATTTCACGCAAGGGCGTGATACATATTTAAAACTGGTTCAAGATCAACCAGCAATCAGATTTTTTCCCTTGTGTGTCTTTTTACTGTTGTATTTCGGGAACGTTTTGTAATCACTCTAATTACAAAGATTTAATTCCCGTGGATAACTTCCCCGTTTCTAGCTCGATCCGTGAAACTAATTTGGCTTCAAAATTCTTAGTTCGTCGGCGTCTTCTGAATGCTTAGCTTGGACATGCAGACAATACATCTTATGATGTTAAATGCGTTAATCCGTCAACTTCCGAATTGCCTTTGAATTATTATCTTTTTTTGGCTCATTTTATAACCGACAGATTAAACTTGTTTATGATGTAATTGCAGACATTTGGATATTTGTGTTTCCTAGAAGCAATACCTAGAAGCAATACCTAGGAGCAATAGATTGGGGTGATATCACTTAACACATAGAACGTTCAATTGAATCACTGTAAATACGTTGTGAGGCGTTGAAAATCGTCAACCATTTCACTCCTTGATTGCTATACAACCTGACTCGATGTAAGTCGCCGTCACTCATTAATCTAGTACCTCCAGGTGAATGACCGAGAAGCACTCTACAAGTTCCATACTCGTTAGATGTTTGTTGATTACAATGCTTACTAATTCTTATCTTTGCGGAAAACCAATGCACAGACTTCGAATTATGTGAATTCCGTTGTGCGATAAGAATGATTTATACCATCCAAAATATTAAATTTGCTCATTATATTGTGCACACGCAATTTGGATTGGTCCATTGACGGTGAGGGTAAATGCACACCTGTAGAACCCATTAAAACTGACCGTCTCGTGTAAGCAATCTTTTAGCAATATCAAGGTTGAAAGTTTAACCGTATGCGGGCACTTACATTAGACGGGGTTTTATTGCGTGTCTATACTACTTAGTACCACAGAGGCGCGCTTTTATTAAGGCAACCTACATCGTCCAGCAAAGTTTCAAACTCTTGAATACAATTAGGCGGAAATAAGCGATAATATACAATGTGCATGCACAGTAGAGTTTAAAATGGGAACTTTAACGACATGGAACATGTTAACATGCTACCATTAACTCAGAATAATTAAAAACTGAGGTAATTCATTTGCACTTCTATGTGAAGGACAATAACAACCAAATTACCAACTGTTGGAACATCAGAACCGGTGATGGCGGATTTTTTAACAACTGGTATCTGGTGAGCTTCAGTTGCGATGTCAACAGAGTGAGGCCAGCTAGTGTACGCTAAGCAGCTGCCTGAAATGAGAGAGACAAGCAAAGATGTTCAAAGCGCTTGGAACTACTTTTGACCTCAAAAGTAGACAGACAATTAGGCATAATTTGGCAACTGGTGACCTCCTCGATGATTTAGGAATCTTCGAAAAACATTTCTATACGATTGGGCACAAGCTACGAATACTCCATACGTAGTAGGCAGCAAAACCTGATGGAGTTCTCGTTAGCTCACTTGTTAGAAAAGATTACGAATTAATCCAGATCGAAAGCCGCTGATATAAGATAATTAGACCTTGCAGCGGTGCCTCCATATTCCGGCTGCGTCCAAGGTACAAACCTGGTTTATCACACATAGTCGGTCCGTAGAATATTGGCATCTTATAAGCCTTCCACCAAAATGTTCGTTTGTGGGACTGTGGTGTTTAAACTGCCCGCGGCTACCGACCTCTTGCAACATGCCAAATGTTCGCCTTATTATAGACACGTGGAATGAAAAAATCGTATGACGGGTTTGTGAGATCTGCAAAAAACTGCCACTGTTTGCACTGGATAAAAATAAAGCTAAATGGTAATTCTAGCGTTCTATTACTCGCAAGCTTGCAGAAGCAAGCTGGATACCGTTGATATATTTAGAGGGCTGAAAATTCGAAATGTGAAAAATCGCTCAACTTTTATTCTTGGAAAGCTGACAACTGACCAAGGCATTCATATCCTCAGAATTTACGAGCTTTTCAAACCAGATTTCACTGAGCCTTGAGTACTGGGGATGTCAACATCAATTGATTTCAGCGGTTGATGTTCTTCTACAGGATACAGTGTGGTGACACTAGCATCAATGCTGATAGTTTGAATTTATCCAGTAAATTGCTATTGTTCGCACACACATTTACTGTTCAACTTATTGTAGGGGAAACGTGATAACACGGGATTTCGGCCATAGAGACTGCACCAAAGCGTGCTAATTCCGCTTGCTGAAGTAAGCGCCTAATCAAATTAGAATGGTTCACATAATTTAATACATACCATGCGTTCATTCTGGTTTCTGAATATGGTGTTTTGTGCACACAGTTACAAGCATAACAGAGGTGGTCACTATAAATAAAAATCACCGAGTCCATTATTTCCCCCTGATGAGGCATGGTTGTTTATGGCCGGTATTCGATGGTTGAGTATCGAGTTTTCAAATTCATAAGCATCAACCATTACAGATATAAATATAAATACCTCACGGAACTACACAACTCGGGAGTTTCTTAGTCATTGTTCAGAGTTTGGCGTCCGTGCTGCCAGAAACAATTTCCGCACGTTCTGGGACGAGGCTTTGATTTCCCAATACCTCACTGATTCACGTTGTTTGAGCCGATCTTCTGCTGACGCTTAACCTGTTCGTCTAGTCTACCTTCACAACACGGGCTAACGTCCACTATTGGTCTGTTGGCAATCATATTTTTTGGCAATGAGGGATTCATAAGGTCACAAATCTACCAGTCAGCTTATTTGTTTGAATTTAAAATTTGGTGGTGTGCATCTCGGAGTGCATGATCATTCATAGCAAGATTTCACGGACAACTAGGAGACAGTTAGTTGATTACCAGAAATGTTTTCGGTGCGCAAATGGTAACTTGCTCCACCTTTTTGATACACGAGACGCCAAAAGATAAAACAATGTTAGTTAACAGCCCACCCGCCTCAGTTGCCTGAACCCCGAACACCTAAGTGACATGTTTTGTGCCTTGAGTGACAAACTAATCACCCTTAGGTTGACAGTCATAAAAACGTTCTCACATGAACCACTTCTGTCGTAAAATTGCATCTTATTCACATATATCATGCGTTGCTATATTCTTTGACAAACCTGTCGTCCATTTGGAATCAGTTAGCCAAATCTCTAGAACCAGCAGGCGTAAGTCGAAAGTTAGTGGTAAAAGAGAAGATACAAACATATTCGTGCCTAGTTGAAAACAAATCTTGGGTTGCATTTTGGATAAGTTTAAGATCAAAGAGTATTTGAACTAACTCAACGGATTCCAACAACGCTCGTACAATAAAAGAAAATGACACGATGCATCGACGTAAAATTTGCATGTATAAATATAATGATTTCCAATGGTAAACTCTCACCCAAAACTGTTGCCAACTCACGTTTACATGGTACATTTATATGTTAGACAAAGTGCACTTACATGGTTCCCCAATAGTTTCATAACTCACTTAGTACCCTATCGTGTAGATGCCTATGTGTGGAACACTTAACGCTGCGGAAATAATCTTCAGTACTCGTTGAGGCAACCACACAGATTAAAAGCGCTTTTGTTTACTCACCAACTGCAAAAAGACCCGCGCAGTTCTGCGTTATTCAAAGTGACTTACACAGCTTAAAAAAACCGCTAAAATGTATCAGAACACTTTAAAGTAAGCCTCACTGACCTGGATCTCCTGCGATACTTCGGCGCTTAGGACTAAAATTCCAGTGACAATTTAGAGATTTGTACAATAAACACTAACGTAGAGGCTCGATCATGAACCGTTTCCAGACAAGGACACAAGTATATAGATATGGTAAATATTCAAACGTTATTAAAATGATGTCTTATTTCTGTGGATAAAGGAAGAGACCACAACTAGTGCCGGGGGAGACTTGATGCCACGTTTCATTTACGTGAGAATATGATATGGTAAAATCCAGTCTGACCTGTGGAGGAGAAAACCTTATCCAGAGTCTTGGAGGGGCAGTATCCAAGGAACGTTTTGAACTTTATCAATCAATAAAGATAAAAGCAAACTAAAAGTTATTTTTAGTGTGTCTACATGGTAATGAAACCAACGTCATCCTTACTGACGGAAAGTGTACCTGTATAGTAACATTTTGCTACATTTACCTCCGACACTCTGTCAGAGCAGACCTATCAGCTTCATAGGTAATCAATAAATATCAAGCTTTCTATAAGGTGGCAGAACTAGCCAACCGTACCTCCAATGACTGTGTGCAAGAGGTGGGTATTCTTTGACCATAACACTGTGAATGACGCTGAAGATGCGTACACGATCCCCTAATCAACGTGAAATTCTTGAAACTCCTCCAAAATTTAAAGGTTTGGTTTGGCGCTATGAATGTGTCACCCAACCTGCTTTAAGTTCGTAATGCTGTTTGCTGTTTGCCATATCGGTCATATGCGAAAAATTATTCATTTAGAATTTTCGTTGACTTCGCTTGCTTCCTACATAATTTTGGAAAGCCAACCTTCAGTCAGCGATAATGGCATTGGTTTACTGTGCACAATAAAGTATTCGTGATACCTAAAATTAAGGCAACCAGCCGGTAACTTCGAATCGGTCATTGTAGCGTACAACCGGTGAATAAAACAGGCAGTCTTAAGGAAGGTCCACATCAGGAATACCAAGGGCTCGCTGGAGCTTTGCTCGGATTGTTCTCAAATAAGAAAATATCGGCCTGCCTTGTTCAATCTTTAGGCTGAGTGATTTAATAATGACTTGTGACTGCCTATACAGCTAGCTGAAAGAAAAAAATAAGTGAGAACCTCCTACAGATTTAACGGAATTTGTTTTTATTGTTTTCTGATGGAAAAACCGATAAAGTTTATGAGCAAACGACATGCGACCAGGGTACACGGTTGAACCACATTTCAAAAGAACAAAATTCCCTGCCTCATTTTCGAGACAATTCGATTAGCGTATAGTAGATGATCAACAAAAGTGCACTTGTACTGAAATATCGACAAACTTTCATACGCAAAGGCAAGAAAAAATATTGAACTTGGAGTAGCAAATATAACGAATAGAGAAGACCCATTCAGCGGCTCTTATTCTTCTTTACAGAAAATTAACGCTTCTTGATGTTCATCGGCGCTCGATAGTGACAGCTAAAGTCTTCAGTTTCACCGACGCAGAAGCAAATTCCACATACTTCATCCCACATTTCTAACTAAAGGAATCATTCTTTTTTTCTCTGTGTGAAACGGGCAATATTTCAATATATGCTTGTTCTGTTCATGAACAAGATCGGGCCAAACTAGAAAAACAATTGGTGATGTTCAGTCAAAAGCAATTCACGTGATCCGACAGCTTTAAATCATGAAAGGGTCCATAATAAATTGCAATCACTGTTGGAACTTATGGCACAATACTTATGTCTTCTTGTCAGTTTAGTACTAACAAATTTAGCATTTTATTTCCTTTGTCAGGTATTACGAGCACTTTCAATATTGTTATGATAGTTCAGATGACAGTTGACCAACGGCAAACCCGTATAACTACTCGCCTCCAGGAAGACACTGGAAATTTCACTGGGTATCCTTTTTAGGCGAACTAAAACGCTATCCGTTATGTGCGATACCGTCTTGTGGAGACGTTTGTGCCACTGCAACTACTTGTCCGTGGCAACAAAAACAAACTACAGGGAGAAACTGGCCTAGCGGTGGTTCATTATATGGATCAACAATTCGGCAATTGACACAACCTTAAATTAGAGGCTGTTCCTCATTTGCTTGTTGATTTCGGGAACCGCTTTGAATACATTAATTACTTCAGCCACGTAAGGATACTCAAGTAAACTTCTCAATGAGAAGCGTGGCAATTCCGCATTTATCAGGAAGTCACTGCGAAACCGCGTTATTAGTTTATTCATTTTCATGGTAAAAGCGTACAAAAGCTAGAAGATGAATGGCAGAGGTAGATGTTTAGACTAAGGAAATCAAATGACCCACGCATGCACTTGCAAAGAGCTGTCCATAAATTTTGGTATCGTTTGCTCAAAAACCTCAAACATGCATGCAAGTTTATAATTGACACACTGATGTGGTATTCAGACATGGGAGAAACAGCTGTTTTCAAAAATGAATTAATTAAAGAAACTCAAATTCACATATCACGTGTTTCTTCCTCGTTTGTAGTGTGTGCAATGTCAAGCCGCTAAAAGATTTCGGTTTGCGTTCGACGTAGAAGATTTTATTTTGACTACTCCACGAAAATAGCAGACTGTTTCTTCTAATAGTAGATGTGAC